ATGATCCGCCCGCCTCGGCCTCCCAGAGTGCTAGGATTACAGGCGTGAGCCACCGCGCCCGGCCAATTTTTTTATATATGTTTATATATATTTTTCCCAGGGCACAGACATGTGCCATTGTAGATGGCATAATAGGTATAATAAATATTCATTTCATTTGTGTCTATACAGATTTCACAGATTTTCTTGTGAACTCAGGAAAAGATGTAGCTTTGTTTTGCAGAAGCCCAAACAATCGTATTTACTTTTCAGGTCACTGCCAGACGTCTAGGGGGTTCAATTTCTTGCCACAGTTTTGGAGAACTTGCTGGTTAGGTGCTGCTCTTGGAACGGGGTGGTAGGCAGCCTGCGCGGAAAACAGATTTGTTTTCCATGCCTTGTGGTTACTATGCAGCAGGGGGCGCTGCAGTAGTGCTCATCGTGGTCCAAGGGAGCCACTCGTCCAGCCAGAAAGGGGACAAGCCAGGAGGAGGTGTGGCAGGCAGCCCGCGGTCCTCTTTGGTCTTGCAACTTTAGTACCCAGAGCTTGTTCTACACGGGCCATTCTTCTACACCATATTTCATCATGTTGGATGCCTTCCATCCAGTGCTACGTCCAGGCGGAAAGGAGAGGGCATTAGCTTCCCGCCTTGCTGTGTTTAAGGGTAGCGCTGTACCCGGTTGCACTCGAGGCTTCTCTCATCTGTGTTCTCAGGGTCAACTGGACGGTCTCCCTGAACCCACAGAAGGCCTCCTGGGCAGTCGCTGCGGGTGGTGTGTGTGTGTGTGTGTGTGTGTGTGTGTGTGTGTGTGCGTATGTATTTCCTCTCTTCGGATCCTTTCTTTTTAACCTTCCTGACCATTTCTCTCCCTACACGTCTTCCCACCGACATTGGGGCCATCCGTTGTCTAAGAGCTGAAATCGCTTCTTCCTGAGATGGCCCCCAAGCTCTCCAATACCCCTCCCGCCCCTCATTTCGGCTCGCACCCCGTGCGCGTGTGTGAGAGATCGCCTGTGTGTTCGTGGCAACCGGGGCTGCAGCAGTCGCCAAACCTGTTCCTGCTCTCTCGGTGCTCAGAAGTCTGTCCAGCTGACCGGACTTACGCCTGGCAGCGCTTGGCACACACAGCGCTGGGCCCGAGATCGAGCCCGCGCCAGGCGCCGTCAGGCAGCAGCGGGGCGAGCGAGCGCGTCCTCCTCGCCCTCCTCCTCCTCCTCGCCCTCCTCCTCCTCCTCCTCCGGCTTCCCCTCCCACAGCGCGCTCTAGCTACCCTTCGCGCTCTCTCCCGCAGTCGCCCTTGGGTCCCGGGAGCTTTCCAGAGTGAAATCCAAGGTGAAAGAAACAAGAGGAGGGCGGGAGGCTGGTAGGAGGAGCCTCCAGCCCCGGGAGGGGAGGGGGCGAGGGAGGAGCCTTCGGGGAGGATCCGGGTGGAGAAAAGGGCTGGGCAAACCCGCGATGGAGGGCCGGCCACGCAGGCGCGGGGGGCCGCGTCGAGAACCCCACGCGGCAGCTTCTGGAGTCTCCAGCCACCGCTTCTCACTTCATTGGAGAAGAGGGCTGGGGCTGGGGCCGGGAGGGAGCTAATAAAGAGTGAATGTGCAGCAGCCGCCGTGGCGGCCGGAGTCCGCCCGAGCGCCGCCCGAGCAGTGCGCCCGAGAGGCGGCGAGGGGAGGCGGTTCGCCTCGTCCCTGCCACCCGCCCCTCTTTCTCTCTCCTCCTCCAGCTGGTCCCAGAGCCCGGCTCGGTTGGGTCCCTGTGCCCCCATCCCGCACTCTTCCACCTCCTCCGAGTCCCGCTCCTCACCTAGAGCGCCCCGAACTGCCATGGGTTAGGGTGGGTGCCGCGACCCGCGTGAAGGACCAGCTCTGTGCATCCGCCGAGGGACGCGGAGCCCGAACGCCGCTCGCCGCTTGCGGGCGCTGGGCATGGGGAGTGCGGTGTGAGCCCGCACCCGGGGAGGACGCAGAAGCTGCGGAGACGGGAGCAAGGAGGAGGAGGAGAGGAGCCGTGGATTGGAAGGACCCGAGGGAGGGAGAAGAGGGAGGGTGGGGAAGCGAGGGAAAAGTGAAGCTGGGAGGAGAAGGCGGCGGAAGGTGGGGATTGATGCTTCTGTTTTTTGTTGCCGCTGCTGCGCTCGCGCTGGGAGCTGAGCCGGAGGGAAGGCGGTGGAGAGATGATTGCAGAGTTGGTGAGCAGCGCTCTGGGGCTCGCCTTGTATCTCAACACCCTGAGTGCGGATTTCTGCTATGATGACAGGTAAGGGGGCGAGAGGAAGGGGCGACGGAGCTGCAGGGGGCACTCCGCCGTGGCTCTGGAGCTTCCTGCTTTACGGTTCAAAGTGCGTCTGGGGGGACTGGTTCAGCACCCGATGGTTCAGGCGACACGTAAACATTGACACCCAAAGCAAACACCGGGGACGCGAGCGCGCTGGGCGGGCTGAGGGAGTTTCCGCTCCTAGTTTGCAGCAGCAGGTTCTCTTCCTTGCTTCTTGGCTGTTGGCAGCCGCTTAAGTTTCTTAGCGGAAATCCCGGCAATTTGGGAAACTGTTTAATGAACGTATTTTTTTTAGAAAAAGTCTTAGGTATTGCTTGGTGCAACAAAAGCACATTAAGTGATTTTACGTCTGGGGTGGAAGGAAGCCGCTCCCCGCCCCTTAATAGATCTTCCCTGGACCATTTCCTTTTTATTGATGGGACACTTTCATTTCCCAAAGTTAAAACACACGTTTGACAGTTGCCAAAATAGTGAAAAGAGAGATCGTTCTCTCCTTCAACTTTCCCTTTCGACGTGTACAGGACTTTACTTAGAGCCAAGATAATGCTGGTGATGGGCCCCCGCCTCCCCAGCCTCCCGCAGCAATCGATGGGGCAGCACTTTATAAAAGCCTCGGCTTTCATTTCTGTTTGGGAGTTTTACATTAGATGTCAGTGATTCTTTTGTGCTAATTGGGGAAGAAGACGCCCCTAGAGACCAAAGTTGTCTTCTGCACTTAGGTTAGTTTGGGTGGCTAATGAGACCTGAACTGTGTTGTCAGAGAAACTGCATTGATTTCTGGAAAATGTCACAGTTGTGTTGGTATCTCTACCTATTTTTTAAACGTTGTTAGTGTTTAGAAACTGATGAAAAGCTCCAATAGCCATTAGGGAAAATTCCAATTTGTGCCTTTCCGGTGACTTAATCTGATTACAATTAAAACAGATGCATAATTAAAATATATTAGGGAGAACAGCACGCCTGGCTAAACTTATTAACCGTCCTGGGGTGTTTCATGCTCCATTGAAATTAAACCATCCAAAAAGTGAGCACAGATTTACTTTGACAGCTTTTCAGCAGCCTCTCCGGGCTATGGAAAGTGAATGGATCCACAGGGTTAGGGCGAGGCAGTGAGTGAACTTAAGCAAAGTGGTTGATAGGAGAGGTGAAGGCAGAATCTTCTCCTGGTGGTAATTAGCCGTATTCTGTATTCTCTAGTGTGCCCACTCACCTGCCAAAAGCATGTTTGTAGATATATGCCTTAAATTAGGGAATCATGGTTCACACCCATGTAGATTATGAAATCCCCTGATAAGAGGTGCAAGAACATTTCAGCGAAACCTTTTTAATGTGTTTTGTGTAGTGCCTAGCAGAGGCTAGTTGGTAGGAAGCCACTGTTAGGCATAAACTTTTCCTGAACTTTTAAGCAGTGTATTGATTTTAGAAATTACACTACATGGTTTGAGAAATGGTCTGTGCAAAACAGTGAGCTGAGCTGGTTCTGTTTTCTTCTATTTTGTGTAATGGTGCACCTGCTATTTCTGGTGTGTTGGGTGAAAAAGCCCTTGCTTCCAAAGATGGGTGACTTTTCAGTAAAAGGAGCTGAGGATTGAGTCTGGGCAGTTACTGGCTCTGTTGGCGACAGTTTGAATAGTAAGCATTTAAACCAAGAATATAGAGCTTATAAAAAAAGAAACTTACTGTAATACTGTAACTATTGTAGAATACGGTGATAAATTAAGCATTCCTATCGTATGCTCTTGTTAATTGCTGGCCAGTTCTTAAGAAAGTGTATGTTGGAAGAAAGCATTCTTAAAAAATTAAGGAAAGAACCAAACTAAATTTGGACATACATTTTTCTGTAGGTCTAATGCTCATTCTATGCTCTTGAGTCATCAGTCAGAAGTGTTAGGACTTTGTAACTTGGGGAAAATGGTGTAAGTGTGATGAAATTAGTTGTGCTTTAGTGGTTGACAGTTGTTAGAAGTTCTTCCCATGCTGTAGATCTAATGGAGTGTTAAAATTCCTAACTTCTACCTTCTAGCTACATAGATGAATTTATTTTGATGATTTGCCCATATTTTCTAATTGATAGCATGCTCAGTGTGGTATATAGATAGCATACATTGTTAAGCCAGCTTGTAAATGTGAATTATACTTTGCTGCAATTTAAAAAGTGTATTAGACTCTGATTTCTTAGTAGCATAACTGCATTTGCCATCATATGCTCTTAAGAATGTGAACTTAAGAGTAGCAAACTTTGTTTTTATGTATCCTAGAAATTATGAGACATGTATTAATAGGAGCACTGAACTTATTTGTTGTATGCACAGCATATTAAAGTGATTAATTGCCAAGATGCACTATAAATTGTGGCTTTTCAAATATAGTTTCTATCTAACTGCTGTAACTCACTGATGTGTGAAGGGGGAAGAGAGCTGGGGGCCAAGTGTAAACTGTAGGATGATAATAATGTGTTTATTTCCACTACTCCATTTCAGACTGCAAAGATTCATGTTTAAAACATTGCTTGAACTCCATCTGTGGATTCTGCTGCCCCCCAGGAACTTTTGTGAAGTACAGTTCTGTAAGGAGAGGCCAATGCTGAAAGTAAAAAGAGCAGCTCTCAGGGAGATGGCTCTTATGCCTGACTTGCTTGACTAAATCAGGACTCCACATTTTAGTCTGAACAATCTGGCATTTACTTTAGGAGGGCTTTATATTGCTGTAGCTTAAACATTATTGCTGTGGTACTTCTCAAAGTTATCATTTCTTTTAAATATAGTGATCAAGTTTACTTTATATTATATATGTGTGTGTGTGTGTGTGTGTGTGTGTGTGTGTGTCTATAATTACTTTCAGTGTTTGATGTAGCTTGGTTGAAATTGTAAGTGGTAACATGAAACCTTCTTATAACAAAATCAATGTCCCTGGCAAAATTTAATATTTTACAAGTGTTTCTATGCTAAACTTAAGAATATATGATGAAACAAACAGTAGAAGAGAAGAATTCACAGTATCTGATGAAAAAGCCTATATGGTTTCAGCTTCATCCTCCCTCCTTTTGCCTTCAATCTAGTAATGACTGTATTGAACCTTAAGTTGTGGTTGGAGTAAAATTGAAATTAAAAGTATGCAGTCTTTGCCAAGTTTTAAGTCACATTGTATGTGACTCCTTGAAGGATTTTCTCTTATTTTCTGGAGAAATTTGGTTTAGGTCAGTGGGAAAAACTTGCTGACCCCAGATTTTCTGCTTCCTTATGTATTTGTTGAGCCCAACATGGCATCATTTCCCTTTCATCCTCTTTTAAAATACTGTTATGAGTTTCTCATGGGGATAACAGCATGAAAGGAGTCAGTTTACTTCAAAGCAGACAAAGGTAAACCATAAATTGTTTTGAAGCTTATTTCACTTTGCACATATCATCTAATTGATGGCATGCCCTTTATGATATATAGACAAGTAAATAAGATAATGTAACTTCTATGTGTTTTTAATTCTTAAACATTTTTAATTCTTTCATTAGTTTTAAAGAAGAATATTTGAGATTTGGGAAGCAGAAAATGTATTTGTGGCTCCTTTGAAGATCCTTTTCCTTATTGCCCATTTTGCATTTATCAAATCCAATCACAATCATTAATGTTATCTACAGGTCTCTTAGCTGTTCCATTGTGCAATAATTTTGTGAAACTTGGAGAAACAACTCCATAGCAGAGATTTCTACTCTTAAAACTACCCAAAACTCCTAATAGCATTTCTAGTTTAGTTTTTCATTTTGGTGTATATGTAAATCTCAGTTTTTATGGAAACATTAGTTAAGATTTTTTTATGGCTAGATGCAGTGGCTGGTAATCCCAGCACTTTGGGAGGCTGAGGCAGGAGGATTGCTTGAGGCCAGGAGTTCAAGACCAGCCTGGGCAACATAGAGAGACCCCATCTCTACAAAAAAATAAAATAAAAAAATTAGCTGCGTGTGGTGGTACACACCTGTAGTTTTAGCTACTTGGGAGGTTCAAGTGGGAGGATCACTTGAGCCCAGGAGTTTGAGGGTATATGGTGAGCTGTGATCTGCTGCTGCATTCCAGCCTGTGTGACATAGCTTGGCCCTGTCTCATAAAAAAAATTATAATGATTTTGATTAATTAATATTAACAATATTTTAAAAACTTTTTTTTTCTAAAGATATTCAACTATTCCTCCTACTTTAATGTTATTGTTAACTTGAGTTTTTGACCTGGTCTGATAAGAATCCCTTGTGAAATATCAATCACTCTGTTAAATTCGCTCTAAAGAGTTCTCTCTAATATATTAATACTTGTCTTGGACCAATCTGGGATTGTTATCTTAAAATTCAAGTGTGTTTAACCACTGAAGGCATGTCTGGTATTTAGTAAAAGCATGTTTTAAAAAGAATTACTGTAAAATTAAATAAGGGAGAAGCTTGCTTTATATCAGTGGTTGTCTTATCAGGTTATTGGAAGAAGCCAATTTGCAGAGAAACATTGTTTTACTCTTTAGTTTCCTTTCCCATTTATAATACACTGGAAGAATGCAGTTGAATACAATTTATAGATTATGAATTATTTTATATGACATTTTATTTTCTAGCTAAGTTTTGGTTGTTTAAACAACTCTATTTGGAAAAGATTCATTTTGCTCTTTTGAATAAGTACATCACTTACCAGTAAAATTAAAATTAGGTGAAATCAGTATGGACCACTTTGCCTTATTTCTCTTGAGCCTGTCACATGATGTTTATCATAACAAATGACCCAAATACAGCCACTGAACGGACATGTACAAATGCCATAGGGAAAATTGCTTGCCAGCCATCTGTCTCTTGGTTGTTTTCATATATATACACACGGAAGCGTGCATGTGTACACGCATGTGATTATTAATTTACATTGGTGATTCTTTGTACTGTCGTTTTATCATCTGCACTTACTAATAGTTTTTCAGCACTGATGTGACCCTATGGTAATACTAAATTTTCTGCTGC